TTCAATATACCATTCAGAAATGCAGTTTTTACGTCCATATGATGAACCAATAAATTAAACTGATTTGAAAATGCCAGTATAAATCTGAAACTTGATATTCTTGCAACTGGTGCAAATGTTTCATTATAATCTATTAGATATTGCTGACTGAAACCTCTAGCAACAAGGCGAGCTTTATATTTTAATGGGTTACCAAATTCATCATTTTTAATAGCAAATACCCATTTACAGTCTACAATATTTTTATTTTCTGGCTTTGACACTAACGTCCAGGTATTATTAATTAAAAGAGAATTAATTTCATCTTTAATTGCCTGTTCCCATTGAACTCTATCATCCCTATTTTTAATTTCCCAATACGAAGTTGGAATTTTACAAACCAGAGATTGAGCACACAAGATATAATCATTTCGCTCATCGATCTCATTATAAGAAATAGGTGGTCGTTGCTTAATTCTATCACTTCTTCTTGGCTCAGGAGATATTTGTCTTTTGTTACGAGTATTACTACATGAAGGTACTTGTATATCTGTTTCAACTACAGATTTATTAAGTCCATGACTTAATTCGGTATTTTTATTTACATCTAATTTATTACTATCAGATTTATGAGACTCTACTGATTTTGACTGCATGTCAGATGAATCAGTTTCAGGCTGTACTACTACATGCCTAGATATCAAATCTATTTTGTTACGGGTGTTTTCAGAATTAACCCCTTCAGACTGTACTATAACAGGTCTAGATAACAAAAAATTAGTCTCATCAAAAATTACATCTCTAACTACAACAAATTTACCACTTTCCACATCCCACACTTTATAACCATTCGGTTCATATCCAACTAGAATGCCTTTCCAAGATTTCTCTTCAAATTTCGATTGTCTAGTTTTATTATGGACATAAACTGTCGAACCGAAAATTCTCAGATACTTTAATTGAGGCTTCTTATTATGCCACAATTCATATGGTGTTTTTGACTGTTTTATAGCCTTAGTCGGGGTTAAATTAATCAGGTACGTAGCAGTAAGGACAGCTTCACCCCAAAAAACCTTTTCTAAATTTGCTCCGGCTACCATAGCACGAGCTTTCTCAGTTATTGTCCTTACCATACGTTCCGACACACCATTTAACTGTGGAGTACGTGGAACCGTTAAGTGGTAACTAATACCTTTTTCAACACAATATTCCTTCATTTCGTTTGACAAATATTCTCTCCCATTATCACAATATAAATTTACAATTTTTAAATTAAAATGAGCCTCACTCTTTGCGACATAATCTCGAAAAATTGAAAATACATCAGATTTATGCGCAATAAGATATGTAACACAATAATGAGTGATTTCATCAACAAACAAAACAAAATAATTTTTGTTATCTATTGTCGAAGGAGTGATAGGACCGCAAACGTCTGAATGTACATTAAACAATGGTCTTTTTACATAACTTTTATCTTTTGCTTTTCTGAATGGTAATCGAGTTTGTTTGCCATTTATACAAGCTTCACATAATTTATCATTTACAGTTACTTTTTCTATTTGCTTTACATCTACAAACATTTCTTTATTCTTTAATTCAAGAAATTTATTTTTTCCAATATGGCCTAATCGTTCATGCCATAAATCGTAATCATCTTTATTGCAAATATTTATATTAGCAACAGAATGTATCATATTTGTTTTAACTACAAATTCTATACTTGATAAATTATTCAGTGGCTTACCCGACATAATTATTTTACCACTTTTACTTATCTTTACTCCACTGGTGTCAAAGGTAACGGTCATCCCGGCCTGCTGAATTTTCCAAACCGACAGTAAATTATGTGGGACGTCGGGGCAGTAATAGACATCGTCAATGGTTCCTTGAATGCCGATGTTAGTTATAACCTCCATTGATCCCTTTTTGACCGCTTCAATATACGTGCCGTTCTTCGCCACAGAAATTTTTATTGGCTTGTCCAAAACTGTGAAATTTCTTGCTAGATCCTCACGGTTAATCAGATGGTCAGATGCGCCGGAATCAAGAATGAAAACTATTTTATTGTCTTTTGCTGTTGTCTCTTTTGAATAATTTCCGGTCATAAACGCAAATCCTGAGGTACTAGGTTGTGAGGTATTAGGTTCTTTTGAAGTTGACGGTTTTATTATTTGAGTAGTTTGGGCCGTTTTATTCTGATTATTTGCGCTGTATTTTTGCGCCCTCTTATAATAAAAACAGTCTTTTTTTATGTGTCCTTTTCTTCCACATTGGTGGCACTTGATTATTTGTTCCGTATTTTTATTGTTTGAAAACCAAGGTTTATTTTTAAAATTTTTGCACTGCTTCTTCGAATTGTTACATATTTCAAAACTCTTCCTTTTCGTCGATTATCCTTTTGTGGCTTGTAACACTTTTAAACTCGTGTCACGGTTCTCACTATTTAATTTAATTTCATGGTCTAAAAGCCCAGTTTTCACAAATGCTAGAGTTAAATTGTCTTCCGATAAAGTCTCTATTGCTGTTATTATACCATCGTAGCACGAAGGTAACGTTAATAGAAGGTGTGATACTTTGTCTATTTCTTCTAATTTCGCACCCGCTGCTGACAATTCCGAAATCAAATTTTCAAAAATGATAAAATGTTTTATCAACGGGGCATCACTTTGGAGTTTCAAAGTTAATAATTGTTTCCTTAACGATAATTGAGTAGCAAAACTTTTCCGCTCATATACAGAGTCTAAATTCCGAAACACTTCTTTAGCACTGTTTTCCGTTTGTACGAAACTAAGAGTCTGCTAAATACTCTATTATTATATTTTTAGCAGTTCTGTCCATTTTAAGCCATTCACCCACTCTTCACTAATCATATCCGGAATTTCATCGTCAATAACACTTATTAAATTTAGTTCGGCTAATAAGGCGCGAATTCTAAATTTCCAGACACTGTATTTTTCACCATCAAATGGTTTAATGTTTCTCTTCATGCTAAAACCTTCCATTGTCTTTTAATATTACTTCTAACTATACACTAAAGATATATTAATATTATACTAGTCACACGCACACACGAAAAATACAGAAACACAAAAAAAAATTAGAGTCTTATTGTTAACGCTCGTGATTGAAATAAATTCGTTCGAGCTTTGTTGAATATTGCACGTGGTGTGCCGACTAAATTCGTGTTTATTTTAAAGTAAATAACTATTTCCTTACTCGAAGGACCACTCCAAAACTTGGAGACTATACAAACTAATACAAGATGTTGCTATGTCGAATATTGAGAAGCGAATGACATTTTTCTTATGAACATGAAGGTACGTTACACGCTTACAGTTTTTACATGGTGAGGGTGAGGGAAAAATACTTAATTTCTATTGGCTGTACAAATGGGGTGGAAATGGAGGCTTGTGACGTATGAAGAACATGGATTTTTCCCAAAAAATGACCATAGCAAGTAATAAAACCAAGCAGTACCTCGACATGAATAGAAACTGAAAATAACGGACTCTACTGTTAAGCTTAAGGTTCTGGCAATCAGATGTAAGGCAATAAACTAAAATACTCGATACAATGTAACGACTCCTTGGGTGTTATTGCTGCTATAGGTAAAGAAATTAACCGAAGGTCTGACCCTTCGCTATGGAACTAAATTCTAAAAATTTAATAACGGGCCTAAACACTTATTGTTTTATAGTCTTATTGTTTTTTTTCACTCTATCTCACACTAACACAGGTAGCACAAAACTGTATAGGGCGCCATAACCTATAGGAAATAGGAAGGTACGTCTTTACTCTGCAACGAAAACCATGAGAATAAGAAAACTCGTCGAAGGAAAAATCCGTTACGAGTCTATAGACCCTATGGGTCCTATGATGAAAAACAAACATCTGCAACCTCTTGAGTCGAAACTCCAACGAAGGTGAAAGTTTACGACCCGATGATTTTTGCTAAAGGCAACACTTATTGTGTTGAATAAATCCAACAACTTCCATCATCGAAGAAAAGGTATCGAGTAGAAAAAAGGGAAAATTTTCTCCGTAAAAAGTAGAAGAAAATTGTATATGTAATAATTATTGCTAAATTGCAATAAATAAAAAATTCCAAAAACACGTATCCCCTATTTTGATCCATATGTTTAGTATACAAATCTGCAAAAAAATCGAACTGCATTTAGGGTGAAAAATTGAAAAAAAAGTGCATTTTTTTAATATATTATTTAAATAAATAATTTCTCCCGAAATTTTTGTCACTAACTAAATTGCTGACTAAAAACTACACAATTTAAAAAAAAATTCACCTTCCTACACCCTCTAGTTTCCGAGATATTGAAGAAAATGCGTTTTCAACCCCCAACTTTGAGGGCTATTTTCACCCCCTCAACATGGATGTCCGCAAATATAAAAAAATACGTGTCAAATGATTTTTAAAAAGCTACAACATATATCAATTTCATTAAAATCCGCGTGTGACACCTTGGTGATGTCCCTTGTGAGTGCCCGCCCGCTTTCCTACGGGCCTTTATAGCCCTTTTGCCCAGGCGGCAAAAGCCCGCGCAAAAACGGGCGGGAGAAGGACGTAAAGAAAAAGAACGTAAAGAACTGTAAAGAAAAGAACGTTTACAGGGTCGGGTTACGCAGACTTTCGAGAAGGAATCCTGCAGGATGTCGCGTTGCGCCAACACATCGTCGAAACTTTCAACGCGAGCGGAGTCGTCAACGAGACGAGAAGAGGCGTATCTTCTGGATAAATTGATCAACGCGCGAATCGCGAAACAGAAGTTTAGCTGAAAATTTAGTTTAGAAGTTGCGCGAAGGTGGTAGCGTAGAAATCGTTTTGGCCAAGTATCAGGACAGTAAATTCATCGCTTTATTTGGCAGAACTCTCGTGTCACGAATGTATTTCGGATTATCGAGTTAATCCCGACGCTAAATATCGTCGCGATTTCAAACATAATCGCGTTCAGTTTCGTTCGTAAAACATTCATATTCGCGGGCAAAGGAATAAAGAGGCTTACCTCTCATGTAGATGTAAACGGTTCCTTGCATGTTGCGTCTGGTAAGGACGACCAAGTTTAAAATATTCCCAACGATTCCCAAGCAACAGATGGCAGGCAGGATAATGCCGTAGCTGATTCGTCGCAGAAACGGCGTTCGAGGATCCTCCAGATCTTCCAGCCGAAAGCACGATTCCGTTTTCGTTCCGTTCGCCGCGTCCATCATCATCTTGTCTGTCCCCTCGCTCTCTATTCTTTTCTTTCTGCCGCGGTTTTACACCTTTTCCGGTTGCGAATCGAAGTATCCGTTTGATCTCACGTGCCGCGAAAGCAACGCCTGTCGTCACCGCGTTTTCCGCTGCTCTCTCGTTGCTCCAGTGTTATCGGGCACTCCTTTGTACTCCCACGCGACGCTTAAGCCGTTTTCGAACGAACGATCTCGCCGGATTACCAGCAAAGCCGTTCGCGACGCAACAGGTGCAACGCTCGCTTCACGTTTATTACCGTAGTATGGGCGATCGAAAAATCCTGACGGATCGCTGTTCGTCGATCGGTTGTCTCCGAGGAACGTTTGAGAGTTCGCTTTCGTTTTTATTTTACCGAAGAATCCGAACGTGCTCTTCTGGACAATTTGACCAGTCGATTCCCGAGCATTTACCTACGAACAAAACATTCTTTTTCAGCGACCATCGAAAACGTGTTTCGGATATCGAGTCCGAGAAAAATATCTATCGCAAAACGAAGCGAGAGCAAAAGTATGTTGCTCGCGTTAAATCTGTTTCCTGTAGATGTAAACGGTTCCTTGCATGTTGCGTCTGGTAAGGACGACCAAGTTTAAAATATTCCCAACGATTCCCAAGCAGCAGATGGCAGGCAGGATAATGCCGTAGCTGATTCGTCGCAGAAACGGCGTTCGAGGATCCTCCAGATCTTCCAGCCGAAAGCACGATTCCGTTTTCGTTCCGTTCGCCGCGTCCATCATCATCTTGTCTGTCCCCTCGCTCTCTATTCTTTTCTTTCTGCCGCGGTTTTACACCTTTTCCGGTTGCGAATCGAAGTATCCGTTTGATCTCACGTGCCGCGAAAGCAACGCCTGTCGTCACCGCGTTTTCCGCTGCTCTCTCGTTGCTCCAGTGTTATCGGGCACTCCTTTGTACTCCCACGCGACGCTTAAGCCGTTTTCGAACGAACGATCTCGCCGGATTACCAGCAAAGCCGTTCGCGACGCAACAGGTGCAACGCTCGCTTCACGTTTATTACCGTAGTATGGGCGATCGAAAAATCCTGACGGATCGCTGTTCGTCGATCGGTTGTCTCCGAGGAACGTTTGAGAGTTCGCTTTCGTTTTTATTTTACCGAAGAATCCGAACGTGCTCTTCTGGACAATTTGACCAGTCGATTCCCGAGCATTTACCTACGAACAAAACATTCTTTTTCAGCGACCATCGAAAACGTGTTTCGGATATCGAGTCCGAGAAAAATATCTATCGCAAAACGAAGCGAGAGCAAAAGTATGTTGCTCGCGTTAAATCTGTTTCCCTTCTCGAATCGATTACGCGTTTACCCGCGGTATTCTTTTGCCGTTTCTTTGTTCGCTCGTTGAATTTACTCGGCGCTTGAATTTTTTTCCGGTTCATCGAGGTTCCACGTCGAATCGAAGACCGACGATCATCGACCGCGCGAGACTTCTCGCGCCCCGGCAAAAAGATGACCGCTAAAGCGCACGACTACAGGGGATAGATGGAAAAAGAGCAAAGGGAAGAAGAAAAACCGACGTACACCAGATGGAACAGAGCGGCGCGACGGATATAATTCACGTTTCGCCGTAATAACAAAGTTTCTCGTAAGAAAAACCACGATGAATACGTATCCACGAATGTAGGGTACGCTACAAGTCGAGGACAGAGTGAGAAGGCAGTTTAGAAGTGGTCGCGGCTAAGGCGGTACTAACCACTTATCGTTTACCGATCCGCTTTTCGTCCGAGAAAAATGCGCGACTAAACCGAAAGAAAAATTATACCGTCACGGATCTTGTCGTCGCTCGGAAAATTCCCAAAACGTACGACTTTGCGTCCTTCGCGGGTTTCCACGCGGGAAAAGAGAATACTCTCGGATTGCCGCAAACCCCTGCCGCTTTCAACTTGCTTACTCTTTATTAATGTAACGCGTTGAAGATAGTTGGATTACCCTTGCTTTCGCTGTTGAAAATTTATCCTCCTTCCCCGTGGAGGTTCACCTGCGGTCCTTTATTAGGAGGGGACACGAAAAACTTTTCTTTCGTTCGATGATTTATTCGACAACATTTAGGAGCCAATTTATTCGACAACGTTTCGGAGCCGATTATTACCTACGATCGTCGAACGTAACTTCGTTTACGCGTTGTAGATGCGCGATGGGTTCGATACAAATTTCCGATAAAGATTCGATAGCTCGATCGACGTGCGGGATAAAAAGGCAAAACGAAGAAAAGAAGGGTCGTTGGCGGACCGATGATGGGTATATTATGCGTCCCGGAACAATAAGGCTGGCCGAAAATGTGGAACTTGCGAGAAAGGGAGAGGGTTTTCCTTATAAATCAGACGCGTTGGGTCATGGCGCCACACCGTATCGTGCGATATACATATGTATACTCCGGCATTTATCTACTTCGAAGAGATCGCGAGCAGTCCGTCGGGCTCTAGAGGATCGTAAATGGAATCGTAAAGAGCTCTTCCTTGTCCGGTTGTGGCGTTTAGTCCGTCGAGAGCCAGTTTCGGACTCGTCCGGGACGTCTTGGTCGAACAAAGAACCAACCACAGTGAAATTTCACTCGAGAGAGGAAAACCACCGGTGCCGTTTCGATCATCTTCGATCAAGAATTACGTACGCACCAATTTGGACGAATCGACGCGAGACAACAAAACTTGGCCAACAAAGTTTCAGTTTTCCGCAGCCACGTGTGCGATTCATACGAATTTTCTCGCCACTTTGAAATACCGTTACCGTGTTTAGTCGGCAGCTGCGATTTAATCAGCAGCGAGAAAAGCGAGAAAAAGAAAATTTCAGACACTACATATTACGAGTTCTTGTCTTTCCGGAGAAGTCGGGGAACGAAAACATTCAAATCTTTTGCTCGTCTCCTTACTGGCAGGTAAAACACCCTCGGAAGAAAAATTTCTTCCGCGATCAAACAATAACTTTTGTCTTAGCAATAAATTACTCGAATCTTTGAAGAAGAAATTTCACACGTAGGCAAATCGAAGGAGCGTTTATACGCGGTGCGCGTTATTGCGTTTACTTGGACTTTCGGCTCTCGAAGGAGCGCCGTTTCGGAGGCACGCTTTGAACGAATCCATTGCTACGAAAAGCCAGTGGGACACGCTGGATGTTGAATCGCTGCGCTGGTCATACGAGAATGTGTACTTGAAAATTTAATGCCGTGCGAAATGTTGAAACATTGAAACGTTGAAAGGTTCGCGAAACGTTTGCGTATCGAACGACATCGGGAACGAGTTTATTCGAAAATAAATGCGGCCGTTGTTTACACGAAACTCCCGCTCCCTCGGCGCTTCCATAAGTTCGCATAAGGGTTAATCCAAAGAACCGAGAATAAAACGGAAGGAGAAGAAGAGCGTGCCGTAAATTCGGAGCAAAATTCGAAAGATTTATCAGGGATTACCGCGGCGCGCTGGTCGAAAGGAAATTTTACGTTCGTTTGAAAATCTGTTTCGCACAGAGCGTAGACTATTTACAGTCTAGAACGGTAGTCCGGACATTCTCGACGCCTCCAAGTCTTTGAGCGGATAAAGGAAGAAAAAGGCGGATACGTTAGCGAGGAGAGCAGCCAGGGGAATTACTTTTAAGATCATAGCTAATGAAACGCGGCAACCCGGGGAAAAGTTCCGCGTCTAGCGACTCTTTCTAGAGCCACTTTTCAAATCCTTGACGACGCTTAACTCGGCTGCAATCAGTAACGCGGTTCGATCGCGTAAAGTTTTGTCCGAATCGAAACGGAAGCTAACTCGATCTCGCGTTATGTCAATTACATCAAAGGGTGTCAATGCGCGGGCACGTTGGAACTTGTACGAAAACCTTTGACGTCGTTAAACTTATCGTCCGACGGTATAGGATCATCAAAGTCCTTTTGTTCCTCTCTGTTTACGGTTATTTGCGATATCCGTCCACTTACTCGGCCTTTTCAAACATTTTTCGTCTTCTATTATCGATGTTCGGTGTAATTTCGAGATACTAGCCGTAAATTCGGAGCAAAATTCGAAAGATTTATCAGGGATTACCGCGGCGCGCTGGTCGAAAGGAAATTTTACGTTCGTTTGAAAATCTGTTTCGCACAGAGCGTAGACTATTTACAGTCTAGAACGGTAGTCCGGACATTCTCGACGCCTCCAAGTCTTTGAGCGGATAAAGGAAGAAAAAGGCGGATACGTTAGCGAGGAGAGCAGCCAGGGGAATTACTTTTAAGATCATAGCTAATGAAACGCGGCAACCCGGGGAAAAGTTCCGCGTCTAGCGACTCTTTCTAGAGCCACTTTTCAAATCCTTGACGACGCTTAACTCGGCTGCAATCAGTAACGCGGTTCGATCGCGTAAAGTTTTGTCCGAATCGAAACGGAAGCTAACTCGATCTCGCGTTATGTCAATTACATCAAAGGGTGTCAATGCGCGGGCACGTTGGAACTTGTACGAAAACCTTTGACGTCGTTAAACTTATCGTCCGACGGTATAGGATCATCAAAGTCCTTTTGTTCCTCTCTGTTTACGGTTATTTGCGATATCCGTCCACTTACTCGGCCTTTTCAAACATTTTTCGTCTTCTATTATCGATGTTCGGTGTAATTTCGAGATACTAGCGACGCGTCGACGAAAGTCCCGTAATTTCACGCTAATTTATGAGGCTAGTCTCGCCCGCAGCTAATTTATCCTCTCTTTCGATGCATTATTGTGTATCGCGATCATAACGTCTAAAACATGGAAACAAGACGTTGCTCGCGATAACAGCTTCGGCGTTGCCGACGATGCGATCTTTTACTTAACACGTTCACGCCGGGGCGAATATTTACATTTTTCTTCGTGGGGCGGGGCGACATTGTTACTCCTTTGAAGCTTCGAACGCGCTAAATACGAGATTAAAACAGTTTTGGCGTGCTTATAAATAAATAATTGTTATCAATTTAAAATATTGAATGTTAATGCTTATAATGCTCAATTTTTGTTTATAATGTTGACAAAAAATAAAATAAACTTATTTTTTGAAAACCTACCTGTGATGCACGTCGTCCCACGGGACAATTAAGTGTGACCCACCGGTGGATCACGCCGCCCCTCAGAACAATCAAGCGTGACACACCGGTGGGTCATCCCGGCGTGAACGTGTTAACCCTTTCGCTACGGCACACAGTGGTCCCAAATTGCTAAAACCTGGCCAAAATATGAAGGCGTTCTGCAATTTAAGTGAAAATTCGTACCTAGGGGTTTTCGAGATCGGTGATTACAAATCAAAAGTCAAAATTACAAAAAACAAAATGGTGGATCTGACGTAGTAAATATATGTTAGCGTCAAGCCGTGTGCAAAGGTGGCACACGTGTCAGGGTCATCGTATCCCGGATTTTGACCCGGTTCTTAGGGGTCTTGGGATGACGATAATATAAACTCATGTCCGTCATCGAGCTAAGGATCGGTGGTAACCGATAGCTAAGGACCGCGACGAACTCTAAGAGTCGCGAATGTTATGGTTAGAGGTCGGTGCCTTGTTCTTTGAGGATCACC